CTCTCAAAACGAGTCAAGTGGAAAATCAAGTGAATTTTTTGGGGAATCCAGAGACTCTGAGGCAATCTGATGACTTTTCACGAAAATCTAGTGACTCTTTAGACAAATTTAGCGGTTTTTAAGTATATCAGGTGACAAAATTAATGTGTTGGACCTGCTTTCTCCATGGAGATGTACGTGAGAAAATTACGATTTTCCTTAGGGTTTTCTCACAGCATATATACTAAAGTAAAACTGGAACATCGCGCCCAGAATAAATTCAAAACAAACACTGTTTCCGTACGCCGGAACACTTTTCTCGGCGCCTGTTTCATCAAACAAGTTGGCGTCTTCAGGAGACGTAGTACGCTAATTCTGAAATTCTAAAATGTTGAAAAAGTGAAAAAAAATGTTATGGGGAATCGTTGAATCTTTATTAGAGAAGTTGCTGAAGATGTCGGCATATCGGTTGGATCATGCCATGCAATTTTTTTGGAAATTTTGAGTATGAAGAGCGTGGCAGCAAAATTCATTCCAAAATTGCTGAATTTTGACCAAAAAACCGTCGCATGAGAATCGCTCAGGAATTGTGTGAATGAATTAGGATCTTTATGGAAATGAAAATTAACTGCACGTAATTTGATTTAAATATTTTTTCAATGTCAACAAGTTTCGTAACTTCACTTGAACGAAGGGAGATTTTTACCTAATACTAATTACATATTATTAATAAAATAATATTATGAACTTTTGATGACACCCTGTATAGGTTGAATTGCATCACAAAACATTCCTAGCNAGTATTTTTTTCGACAGCACACGAAAATCCTTCGAACTAACAAAAGTTGCTTCACTCAAAATGTTCTATCCCAGAAACTTATAGTCCGACAGCTGTGAAATTTGAACACGTATCTTTTGAAGGTTATGTTACCATGATAATCATATGAATTTAATAACCTTGGGATATGCTAAATGCTCTTTTGTCGGAATATTGCTGCCTCAGACAAAATAAAGCTTACTAATGGAAATGGTAGTCGATGAATCATCATAGATGACAAATTAATTGTTGTATTCTGACACTAATGCCATCTTACCTTGATGTTCTTTTAGGAAAGCTTTTTATAATACAGGGAGATTCCTGCTTTTCTGCCCCCCATGCCCCCCCATGCTTGTAGAGCCTGATAAAGTTGATTGAAAAATAGATTAAGCAAATTTGATCAATCAAAATGAAATGAATCAGACCCTTGAATCATGCATGGTACTTTGCGAAACATAAAACTTTTAACTTAACGACTAGAACGGTATTGAAAATTTATTTTATGACCATTTCACTGTTACAAATGAGCAATTTTTGTTACGATGATAATGACAGTTCCATGATGTATCTATTACATCATGCATCACATCGCTCTTGAACTATAGAAATAAACAAAACTGTGAAATTACAGAAGATGATGCTGAAATGTGTCTGAAAATTGATTTTACACAACGTGAAACAGTAAAAGGTAAAAGAAAGAAAAAAAAAGATTTCCACTGGACCACAGCTGAAGAACTGATTCCAATTCTTACATCTGGCAATGTCGCACCTGGCATGCGTTGAATAATCGGTACCGTACAAAAGGGGAGGGAGTAACGATCCAAGATGTCTGTGACTGCTAACGCGATGGTCACTTTCAGCTGTTTGCTTTTAAATTTACGTTTATTTTGACATCCAAAACGTCAAGTAATACAGTGGTGTAGTGAAATAAGTGCTGAAAATGATATCCTCCATAATTTCTAGATTAGTAATGTAAGTAATCATTCATTGTTTCAATCGCATTCGATCTCAAATAACAAAGATCTCTATCTTTTGTGTTGTTTTGTAAATAAACCTCGATTTCGGCACTTCTGCCAACGTTTTCAAATAAAGATGGAAGAGGTAGAAAGCCAAAAACTTTCTTTTCCAAAAATTTATCTCTCCTTAAAATATACCCCCTTTCAATTTGAATAATTTTCAGGTTGGGATGCTGTAGAGGTAGAAATGCTCGTTGATAGAATTAATTAGCACATATGTTTGCAAAGACAATTAGGTATGAATCGACAACATAAAATATTGTGGAAGAGTCCAAAAAGGTCATTCCTACTTTACACAGCAGTCAAAGTTCTCATTTGCATAGATTATTTTTTTATCTTCTGAAGGTACCTGCACGGGGTACATGACACCTTTTGTGTGTAAATGTGTGACTCATTACAACCAGATGGTCATGAACAAGATGCTGTACCGACCCGTAAAAGGGAGAAAAATCCATTTGGCCTCGTATTCCCCAACATGACTGCTTTTATTTTGGAAGAAATATCTCCGCTTCATTGTTCTCTTTTGCTATGGCTGTGCGTGGATGGATTGATCGACATCTCCACAAGGTCGACCTGGGGGGTGATTTTGATGATTTATCTTTCATGCTATGGTTATTCCCTAGTTAGATAACATATACGGGGTGTGTTGAAAAAATAAGGTGAATTTTCATTTTTCTCAAAAAATATTTGTTTATTCATCAATTTCTGTTTTGTTCTCTTCAAACAGGACCAAACATATATAATAAACTTATGCCAGTAGTCGTCGCAAAACGCCGTCTTCTCGTGGGTCTTTTCAACCTTGAGAACAGGTAAAAGTTGAAGGCAAAGCAGTTTTCGGGGTCAAACATAAGGTATTGTGTGAGTTGAACGATTCTGCGAAAAGAAAAATATTTACTTTTTCTACAATGTTCTTCGTTGCAATCCTCTCGTCAAGAGGTAAGATTAAATATTGGATCCACAAGGAATTATGTGGTCGAAACGTATTGCCTGTGCAGTTGTAAAGCAGAGTAGTTTGGTTTTTGCGAAAATGTTGTAACTTCATTGTAATTTTTTATTCAATGAGAATCATTATAGAGCCGTATCGTTATAATCTGTATTTGATATTCAGTCATCAGGGTTTGCAATAATCATACTGATTTTTTTGATTTTTTGATTATGAAAAAACTGATATTGTACTTTTTTCTAATCTTTCAATTGTCCATTCTGTTTCGCAACCGAAATTAACGTAAATTCATCGATTCTGAAGTCTGATAGGTAAAAATAAAAGTAGTGTTTGCAAAATATATTCAATCAAATCATTTACAATAAATTTTCATTTGCTCTCCTGACAAGATTAATCCTGTTTCGAATCTACTTGGCTTGGATTTGATTATTTTTTTTCGGAAAACCCGCGCGGTTGTCACTTGTTTCAACGCGAAAGCAGGGTGGATCAATTTATTGATTCATTATCCTTTTTTTCATAGATGGTGACTGCAGTTCTGTGATTCTGTCTATCTGATTTTACTCTGTTTCCTTAAGGTAAGAAGTAATAAAAGTTCCATTCTTAATGCAAAATATCTAGAAGATTGATCAAACTTTTGTTATTTCGTTATGATTTGCCACAGCAGGCGGAGTTCTTGTACTTTACCGGGTCCATCCTATTTTTGTATCGCAAACGGGTTGCAAACAAAAGATTTCAAGAACTTTCTCTTTGTTTTCTACCTGTGGTGGTCCTTACTAGATGGATCTGCATAGACAATTCACAGAAATGTAGCATTGGTGGTTCAGTTTTAATATCCATAATACATAATACAACACTGAGTTAATCGATATTTCTTTGATACGTCATACAACTCGATATGAACCGACAACAGTCCTGTAAGTATTGCAAGGTTAGAAGGTCAATTTTATTATAGGATATAACACGAATGTACAATTGCTATTTATAGCAGCGGCGTACTTACTTTATTTTCAAAAAGAGTAGGATAACGTCAGTTTTATTTTGGAAAATTATATTTACGCCTGATGCTTTGTTTCAATTTTCCCCAAATGAACTCGAAGGGATTGGAAATACAAAAATAGGGGGGAGGTCTCAGTATGATGTGTCCATACTTTTCAGCAATATTCTTAAGGGCATACACTTTTTCAAATGTTTTTTGTCTGTAAAACTTCAAGTAGTTGGTTTTTGGTGTAGTAATATTCAAAATACAAATTTTTATCAATTAAAAATCAATAAAAAAACTTTGTAATTAATCTTTCCTCGAATTTTTATTCGGTACTTTGATGAGCTGTCGCGAATGATAGGTAGCGTTGTCAAGAACTATTACACTATTCGCATCCAAATTTAGGATAAATGTGTTTTCAAAACATTCCTTGAAAATATTAATTCCATGTTCTTATGATAGTCAACATTGCAGTACTCAAGTTTTTTTCCACATTATTTCAAAGAATTCGGAACCCATCCTTTACTTCCTCCGCAATGTAAAATGATTAGTCGCGATGCTTTGTTTGCAGGCATGTAAGGCCAACACATTCTCGAACCATCAGTCCACCCTTTCTTAACTGTGCTTGAGTGTCATACCAAGTTTCGTCCAAATAGAAAATTTGCCGTTGTTCTTGTCGATATTTAGTTATTTGTTCTAAGTATTTGTTACGCAATTCTACTATTCTTCTGCTTTCCATAACTGCTTGACGTTTGTTTATTATTTTAAATCTAAATCCTAGTTTCTTTATCCAATTCTGAAGAGTTTTGTCACAGCAGCTCACGTTATGGCCGGAAGTATTCAATTTTTTCCTTATGATTTCAATTGTAGGAATCTCATTGCTTTTGTAACAGTCGTATATTATTTTTTCAACGATTTTATCAGGTAAACATCTAAAGGTTTTGGTAATCCTGTATCACATCGCGTCTTACGTTCAAAAGTTTTTTTTTTATTATTTCAAAAATAACCGCATCAACCGCGAAGGGTTATTAGCGGAGGAACAATTAGGTATAATTATATATCATATATATCATTGAATCGGTTGAATTGAGAAAGTTACTCCTGCTTACTGTTTATTTGTGGTCAATTGAGAAACTATCAACTATAAAAAAAATTGTATTGGAGCTCCACAAGGAACTGAAACCGTCACAACCAGTACTCGTACTTCCCTACATCAAAGGATTGTCGGAAAGGATAAGAAGGATTGAATCCAAGTATAACACCAGAATCTGATTCAAATCTGGGAACACTATCCGTAGCAGCCTCGCAAAAACCAGGCCACCAAACGCGGACTGCGATTCCAAGAATTGCATTTACCGGATACCCTGCGAGTGCGGAGAATCATACATCGGTGAAACTAAGAGGCCATTGAAAGTTCGCATTACCGACCACAAGAAATACACACAGCGAGGAGCATGTTTGGACTCATCAACATAACATCAAGTGGGCTCAAGCTGAAATCATCCACAAGAAGGAACATTGGTTTTGTACAAAAATGAAAGAAGCCGCAGCATATATGTTGTCCAACAACGCATTTAGCCAAGCTAGCGTAGAGATACGCAACATATGGAAACCTCTGATCAAGCGGAACACGACTAATTCCCGCCAAACGGTCAGCTCCCGCTCCCGGAAAGAGGGAAGAGGGGATAGGTGAAACCACTCGAATTAGCTATAAATAGTTAGATCTCGGAGGAATCAGTCCAGTTATCACCCGAAGACGATTGTGGATACTAACAATCGAAACGTCGTGAAGTAACTTGGTTTGGAATCTTTTAATTATAAATTTTCAATTTACATTTTTTGTTGATAATATTT